CATGCACTCCTGATGTTAAGGTAGTGTACATTCCACCTAACACTACCTCTGTCATCCAACCCTGACTGGTTAAAAGCATTGCTGCCTTTTAAAGGCAATTATTTGGTACGACCTTTCGCTCAGGCTATACTGAAGGTGAGAAAACGTACCAGAGTTTTGGAAGTACAAACGTTTTGTCATGTATAAAGAACATTAGTGCAGCATGTGGGATCAGGTCTAAAAATTGCATGAATGGAATATGGAAGAAAATCCTGAAAAGATATAGAACAGTTTCAAAGGATTTAATGAAAATGAAGTTATTTCGGATATTAGTAACAAGATAGTGGAGTTAGGTAAACAGCAGGAGTTAGGAAATTGATAAACGGAAGATGTTGACAGTTGGTTGAAAAGTGTAGCAGAAGGTTTTCCAACGAGGATCTATTGAACTAGATGGCATTACACTGGGGGGACTTCTTAAAATAGATGTCCAATTTAGACTGCACAGTTGTTTTTCATTATAAATTTCTCTGCAGCAAACAAGTGCATCTTGGATCATTTTTGTCAACTTTGGCATAACGCTATACTCATCCATGCCATCAAACATTTGCATTCCTTTTTGTTAATTGTAGCAAATGCCTCTGCCGGCTTGTTCTTCACTGAAAACTTTTGGGGTGCAGTTCTTTCTACATGGTCTCTTTTCTTCCTTCGTACCTTTCTGTGCATTCAGTTCAATAAGATCCTCGTTACTGAGCCTTTTCTTCTGGCTACACTAACCAATCAACCAACACCTCGCTATCAATTTCAACTCCTGCTGCTTACCTAACTCCACTATCTTGTTGTTACTAATATCCTAAATAACTTCATTTTCTTTCATTAAACTTTGAACCGTTCATATCTTTTCAGGATTTTCTTCCATGACCCATTCATGCAATTTTTGGAACCCTGATCCCATGCTGCTGCACTAATGTTCTTCTTATACATGACAAAAACGTTGTACTTCCAAAACTCTGAGCGCTTTTCTCACCTTCAGTAGCAGCAACAGCCTGAGCGCATATCGCATTTAAATAGCACGCTTTTAAAGGCAGCAGTAGCACCTTGATCCGGTTGGATGACAGAGGTAGTGTTAGGTGGAATGTACACTACCTTAACATCAGGGTGCATAAGCTGCTGTCCAGGTGTGGTGGGTGTCCTGGGAGCACTATCCAAAATCAGCAAAATTCAGAATGGAACTGTTGTTGCAAGACAATACTCCTGGCTCGAGAAATGAAACAAGTCATGAACCAATCCTCAAACAACAGCAAGTACATATCATCCAGACTTTCTTATTACTACTTATAAAACACTGGCAGTGTGTGCTTGCTGACATGTTTAAAAGCCCTGGGGGTTCTCTGAATGATAGATCATGAAGGGCTTTAGCTTGGAAAAACCAGCAACATTCCCCCAACAGAAGTGTGTAGACTGCCCTTGAATGCCTTCCTGAACTTCTGGCATTACTACTTTTGTGATGTATGTCCGCCCAGGCATGCGCCTACAA